TATGTATGTATGTATGTATGTATGTATGTATGTATGTATGTATGTATGTATGTATGTATGTATGTATGTATGTATGTATGTATGTATGTCGTCGGTGTTAGTCACAAGCCGGATATATGCAGAAAGGCAAATTTTACACAAAGGTAAAAAAACTGATAATTGTTAAAACACGCAGCGTAATCTTACATATTTCTGTAGGAAAGGTTAAATTATAAATGTTGGGACCAAGTACTACTTGATTTTTCTTAATTAAATACCACTACCGATAGTTTTATTTTGCACGTAGCCGGTTATGGGATGACAAAAACTGTGAGGCATAATGCAGGTAGCCGGTTCTCTACACTAAGCTGGTTCGTATAGATCGACACGGACGACGGCGAGTTATAGGCCTAGTATTTAAAGTAATATCGTAACGAAAGCTTACTGGTTAAATCAAAATGCTTTAAAATGACAGTTCAGTGCTTTGACTACACTTTTGTCCGTAAATTAATTAATCCTAATGGTTGAGTGTAAGCCTGGTTACTTGGAGGTGAGGTGTGGTTCAAACTTTGTTGCCAGTCGTTTCATAATGGACTTTATACTTCATCATTTCTCATGTTCGTATAATCATAAAAGCCATTGGTGTTACAAAGATTGCATATGGTATGGTGGGATTTAAGCGTGATGACTTAGTTTAATGGACGTATTGGACAGACACATAGGTAGGGAAGTACTTGAACCCACCCCTAAACCCTAACCCCTAACCCCTAACCCCTTCCTGTTATTATTCGATTATTAGTACGTTATTATTATTCGATGCCTATACCTGTCATTGGTACATACCTGTCTTACCTTGAGATTGATATCTTGGCAGATCATTATTTGGTACATTCCTATCTGTCATTACTCGATACTCTTTAAAGTTCATACGGTCTTTTATTTGTTAAACATCGGCTTGGCTTGTAAGCGGCGACAACTGTGATTGGATAAACGCGCAAGCCGCCAAGTTGATCACTAGCATTCTGTGTTCATTGCACGCGCGATCATAACGGTTTCAACAGCTTATCTCGTCATTTAAAAAACTTTCATTTACATTGGGATAGAGTTGAGGGATGGGGAAAGGGGCTCAAGCCCGTGAGCCCTTTACTACCCACCGCCACTGCCAGTGGCGTTGGGTGGACCAACATTTGGGTGGGGCTTAGGTTGCTTCCACTTCTTTACCACCAAATATAGCAAGCAATAAGACTGTGATGGTTTGTCGATACTCACGGCGACCACGACATTCAAACGAAAATTATTTAAAATATTAATTATCAATAAATATGAAACAGAAATAACAAAAGAAGAAATAGTGCAAGATTGAGAGGGTGCAAGATTTACGCTTATTGTTTGGAGGTTCTAGCAGCCTGTCATTTCTGTACCTGTCAGACATCACAAGTTTCCCAAGATCTCAGTGACTTTCACCGCTCCTTGTATTCAATTCATTAGAAAAAATCAATAGGACGGAAAGACTTTACTATAAACTTGTCACTACTCGTGCTTCGTTTCCACACACATTGAATACTGTTCAAATTCTTCTTCATTTGTATACAAACACAACAAATTGTTTAGACAATAGACAAACCCTTTGATTTTGACAAAGAATTTAATTTTATTTCCTGGTGATATGATGCCGTTATTGCTATAGCTTGTCTTTCATGAGAAGTCACCAATAGGCTTTGGTCTCTTGGCCGAGAACCAGTGAGTCCTATTATACCTTTGCTTATTTTGTTGTTTGGGTAAAACATGTGAGGCTTACTGGTTAGTGGGGTCCGGTTTATGGTTCTCGGTTCGTGTGACTAGCCTGGATCTCGTGTAACTGGCAAAGGGGGACATAGTTTAATGGGGACTGGTTAGTGGAGCAGTTTGGAAACTATTTGAATATGCATTGCGTATCGAGATGAAAAAGAGACAGAATTAAAAGATGGCCAAGTTTATATCAAAGTCTTTTGGAATAAACGATTTGTTTTCCGGACAGAGACAAATATTCTACACTGTGACGGTTACCAATGGGCTTTGGTCTCGATATGACACTTTCCCCTGCTTGGGACAAAGGCATAACCTGTAAGGAGGAAAACTTTGAAAATCAATTCATTAAAAACAAAATCAGTTGATAAAAACAGTAACCAGAAAACAAATAATGATAGAA